CTTGCTTCTCTCCCACTCAGACTCTTTCCTGGACCTGTCTCTTATACACATCTAGATGTGTATAAGAGACAGATCACAAGCAATTATTAGGACACAATCCAATATCTTCCACGCATACCTGCGATCACATAAATTCAACAGCAACATGCTACACACTCACGCAATCAACTTTACCGTTCCCTGCAACTCACACTCTGCCTTATGTGCACAAGCCCCAAGCATTTTCCACCTTCCCGCAAAAAGATATTCAGTCCTTTAGAATTGGCCATTTAAAAGAAACCTGTGTAAAAACCCCAAGAAACATATTAAACCCACGGGGCACACAAAAAAAATTAAAATTTCTACAACAGAAAAATAAGAGCCAAAACCACTCAGTGCATTCCATCCGGCATAAGCGTCTGGATAATCCAGAATGCGGCATGGCAAGCCTTCAACCCTTTTTTTCAAAGGCCTTAGGTTAAGGTGTAGAAGCAGGTAAAGTTGTGTCGTGAACCGATCTGGTATCAAATGATAATAGATAACAGGTGATGGGTGATCCTTGATGGACCAGATCAAAACTAGTCGAGCCTTCCGTCAAACGCTGATCTGCACCACAATACAGGTCAAAATGACCATTGTTATGCTTAAGATAAATTCAAAGTACATCCCATATTGTAACCGAACTCCTCCACTAACCTCCTCCTTACGTCTTTCTAATCGGCACAAGAGATTGCTGAACATTCGATAGCATCTCCCCTAGATAGGGTAGATTGCCAAAATTTTCACAACCAAAAATTGACTAACACCTCAAGTTTGCAAAAATTTTGACAGCACTTCGGAAATGGAGTCCCAAAATGTTTACTAAGCTAAATTTGAAGATCAGAATTGCAACGACAAGTTTTGTCTAACTCCCTGAATGAGTAAAAATTTCGGGAGCACTTCCTCTAGGAAAGTGAGCTCCCAAAATTGTTACTAAGTCAAATATGGAGTCAGACTACAACTGGACTCTGCAAAGCTAAAATTTGGCAGCACTTGCTTTAGGAAAGTGGACCCCCAAGATTTCTACTAAGCCAAGTATGAAAAGCACAATGCAACTAGACTCAAGATAATTCCTCACACCTAACTTGATAGTCAGATCTAGAGTTAATGAGCTAACTCTAACTCTGACTCTCAGTAAGGCCAACCTACCTTATCACAAGCTCCCCCCACCATCCATTCCACTTTGCCTATCACTCCATCACTTGGCAGGCATCTAAGCGAGGAAACTATCAAAAGATGCCCCAAAAGGAAAAACTCACAAAACACACAAGTAAACACAACAAAATCTCTCACCAACCGTTAAGTTTTTTACCAAAATACTAAGCTCATTCATTTCTCATATTATTAAACCTTTTTACCCCTTCTTACATTTGGCGTAGGATAAGACCGCCCCAACTTAGGGGTACGTTGTAGGGGCCTTACCCTGCAGGACTTTCGAGCCTAAGTCGACCCCGCTGCGGGTCCCAGTTGGCTCGACCCGCCCACGCTCACGCTCAAGGCGCGGGTCGTTCGTCCCAGGGGCACCCCCACCTAGTGCTATGAGATGGGTGGGGATGGGCCTTTTTGCGAGAGGGCTTTACATTGAGGGATGTAGCTCCGCTCTCGCGTCAAGATG